GAAAGCTGGAAGGTACAGGGTTTCCCTGCCACGTGATGAGAACGTTCTAAAGGGGACTGTGGTACTGACTAGTGACACAGCTCTGTGAAGAGGCCAAAAACCATTGAACCATCCACTTTAAATGAGTGACTTGTAAGGAATGTGAAAATCTTAATAAGGCTGGTTTTTAAAAGTCTACCCTCCTCTCCTGCTCCCTCTGTGAGATCTAACCTGAGGCTCAGATCTCTCATCTGTCAAATAGAGATAGCAATACCTACAAAAATTACAAACGCCCCAGGGAGGGGTTTTGTGTGGAATATATGTGGGACCTGGCAATGTAGTGATAGGGGGCAGAATAAGGAGGTGGGTGGTGACCACCGGGCTTTTTGAACCTGGGACCCCTGGATGGGGTGGGGAGATTGTCAATTCTTATAAAAATCTTCAATTGATATTGTTTAGATCAGGAACCTTCAGGAAACAGCCCTTGATCTTAAAGATTACCCTGAGAAATCTCCAAAAACCAGCCACCCCTCCATGCTTGCTGGGACCACAAGCTCCGTGCTCAGTTTCCTGGGGGACCAGCGGTGGGGGGCATACCTAGGGAGGTCCTAGGAGAGTCCTGTGGGCAGGAACCCAGCCCTGCTCCCAGGAGCTGGACTGGAAATGTTTTCTGTAGCCCAGTCCAGCGAGATGTACATCGTACGAAATGGGAAGAGAGCCCCCAGAGCCTTCAGGAAGGACCAGAAGTCATGGGCGCTAGACACTGTCCATGCCCAGGACCAGTGTCACTGGAAGATCTCCATGCATTTTTGCAGACTTCCCACCCTCTGACCGGCTCACTGCTCCTGGCATCGCCTTCCAGAGGCCTCAGGATCAATGAGAAGGCTGAGGCCCACCCCAGCCTTTTTTTTTTGGCTTCTCTGAGCTTGGTGGTGAAAGGAAAAAGATAAAAAGATGAAGCATTCTTCTTAAAAAGTCTTGGTGGAAGGGGCGCCTGGGTGGCTCAGTCAGCTGAGCATCCATCCGACTTCAGCTCAAGTCATGATCTCATGGTTCGAGCCCCACATTGGGCTCTGCTGACAGCTCAGAGCCTAGGGCTTGCTTTGGATTCTGTGTCTCCCTCTCTCTCTGCCCCTCTCTGGCTCCCACTCTGTCTCTCTCCCTCCCAAAAATAAATAAACATTAAAAAACAAACCTTGGTGGAAGGTGACCCAGCTCCCTCACCCACCCCTGCTTCTCTCTGCTTCTGCTGCTTCAGATCCTTGCCCTGAGGGTGCTGCTGAGAAAAGCGAGAAAAAAGTAAATGCTTACCACTTCTCAGTGCTTGGCCTCTCAAAAAAAAAAAAAAAAAAATACACTTTGTATTGTTCAGAGGAGGATTGGGGGCAGTCAGCTTTGTCCAGTAAACTTAATAATCCTCCTAAGTAAAGCAGTGAAGATAAGAAGAGGAAAAAATTTGAGTGTCCAGGGAAAGGGAGGTAGAAAGTGCTACTCCACGTTGTCTCATTCATCTCTTTGTTCCTTCTTCCCACAAACAGATACGGTTTGTGCTAGTTTGCAGAGGCAAAGCCAGCCCCGTGAAGCTTGCTAGACACAGCCCCGAGGAGCCTGCCCTCGCTCACGGGTGTTGCCCACTGGTCATTAATGTGAGAGTTTGTGGGACACAGCGATATGGTCCTCTCTCTACGAAGGTGACCCTATCAGGCTGTACCTTTAGCAGCACTCACAGGAGGTTTGGGAAAGGCCAAAGGCATTTCAGGTCTACCATTGTGTCTTGAGACCAGCTTTATGGCAAGTTAAAACCACCAGATACATTTTCTTACCAGAAGCTTAGCCTAAGGGAAGTAAGAGTAAGACAGAGACAGAGACAAAGAGAGAAAAGCAAAAGCCTCAAAGAAGCCCACTCCAGTGTTCTAATAGCAGCAAATAAGAACAACCGAGGGGCCTGCCTAAGTAGAATATGATGCACACATTAAACGTGATCATTCTAGACAATCCCTGGGTGACCTCACTCACATGTAAAATCTGAAAAACCAAACCTATAGAAACAGAGGCTAGAGTGGTGGGTGCTGAAGGCCGTGGGAGGGAAGGGAAGAGGTTGGTCAAAGGTTACAAATGTCCAGTTATAAGATGAGTAAGATGTGGGGATCTCGTGTACAGCCTGGTGATCGTAGTTAACAATACTGTATTACGTACTTGAAAGTTGCTAAGAGAGTCGCCTTTCTATGTTCTCCCCACAAAAAAGCAACGGCAATTATGGGCCACGATGCAGGTGTTAGCAGATAGTACGTTGGCAGTCACTTGGCAATGTGTAAGTGGATCAAATTAATGCCTCTGCACAATGTTGTTTGTCAATTATATTAAAGCCAGGCGGGGGACCTAATTGTTTTGGACATTATGCAAATACTGTATTGTCGAATTACAAAATGGGGTGCTCAATTGTATTTATACCGTGGTCACAGTATTTATTATGCAAATGTGAACAAGACTAAACAGAAATGTGGAAAAATTAAAGCCATTTTCTTTTCTGTGGGCAAGAACCTGGCTTGAATTCCTTTTCCTGTTTTTGTTTCTGTTACCGCCGTCACCGTATTTCCTTGTGTAACAGAGAAACTAACTGTTCAAGTCAATGGACTTAGGATAGTTTCACTCCAGCAAGCTGGCATGAAGCCTGGAGGTGGGGGATTTTTGTTTGTTGGGTTGGTTTGGTTTGGTTTTAGTTTTTGAGATTTTATTGTTAAGTAATCTCTATACTCAATGTGGAGCTTAACGTACACCCCGAGATAAAGAGTCGCATGCCCCACTGACTGAGCCAGCCAGATACCCTGCACGGTGGTGGTTCCGGCCAAGCTTACAGTTTGACTGACAGTTTAGACCTGCCGACCATTGAGAGTAGAGCAACCTGGAGAATTTCTGTGCTCTGGGACAAAAGGAGATTTGGGATTACAGAGAGCTTCTGTAAGCCTCTCCAATGACAAAGTCTATGCAGGAGGCAGTCAAGGAAAATGACAGGAAAAAATGACAGCTCTTTCTTATTTGCTCACAAAGGCTGCTTCCGTCTTCAGCGTCTCCTCCTCTCCCACCCCTCGTCCCCAGGAATTCTTTTTTTTTTTTTTTTAAATGCTTTTATTCATTTCTAGGAGAGAGAGAGACAGCATGAGCAGGGGAGGATCAGAGAGAGAGGGAGTGACAGACTCTGAAACAGGCTCCAGGTTCTGGGCTGGCAGTCAGCACAGAGCCCGACGCGGGGCTCGAACCCACGAACCGTGAGATCATGACCCAAGCGAAAGTCGGACGCTTAACCGACTAAGCCACCCAGGCGCCCCTCGTCCCCAGGAATTCTGCTCGTCTCTCCTGGGGCAGCTTGTGTAAATCATGCCACCTTGTGCCGTCCCTGTGGACCGTCACCTCGGAAGGGCAGAGCGATTTATAAGCCTCTCCTTAGCTAGGGATTTGTAGCAGTAATCCCCACCCACAGAGAAAATAGAATCCCAAGCAGTGACCTTCAGTTTGACTTCCTTTCCACCTGAGGTGCAGCTAAGCTAGCCATCTGGGGTTCGTGGGTTCACGGCTCCGGCCATGACCTGCTGTTAGTGTGCCCCGCACCCTGCATGCAAGTCCCCTTGGACTCAGCTGCCTTACTCAGGAAAACCCACCTGGATGAACAGACCCCTCGCCTCAGCCAGGAAACACGTTGATGGAAAGAAGAGGTAAAGGAAGAGCTACTGTCTCAGGACACGCTGCCCTTTCCCTGGAAAATGACTTGGGACCCATAATGGCGAGTCTCTTGGGAGGAACCGCGTGCTGGAGTCAGCCGCTACTACCTCTAGCACGAAGGACAAGCTTCTCTTCCTCACCAATACCTCTCTACATACACCCTCCAGGGGTGTATTTTTACACACCCCACAAATACTTCAGAAACTTTACTGTGTCACACTGTCGTGATTCAAGAAGTAAACACCAGCAGGCATTTAGTGAGCACCTGCTGTATGCCAGACTCTAGACAGAGCTAGGAGGTGACCTCCAAGATCATCTGTTCCAGGGGCACCTGGCTGGCTCAGCTGGAGAAACATGCGACTCTTGCCCCCGGGGTCATGAGTTTGAGCCCCAGGTTGGGTATGAAGATTACCAAAACAATAAATTAATTAAAAAATTATCTATTCCATGGGGCACCTGGGTGGCTCAGTCAGTTAAGCGTCCGACTTCGGCTCAGGTCATGATCTCACAGTTTGTGGGTTCGAGCCCCGTGTCCGGCTCTGTGCTGACAGCTCAGAGCCTGGAGCCTGCTTCCAACTCTGTGTCTCCCTCTCTCTCTGACCCTCCCCTGCTCATGCTGTCTCTCTCTCTCTCTCTCTCTCTCTTTCTCTTTCTCAGAAATAAATAAAACATTAAAAATTAAAAAAATAAAAAACAACTATCTATTCCAGTACCTTCATTTAAAAATGGGCAAGCAAGGGTTCAGAGTGGCAAGCCGCTTTACCCAAGGTCACAAGCTAATTTAAAGCCAAATTATACAGCCAAAACTACAGCCTAGATTTCCTGACTGCCCTGTCCTCTGCTTTTGCCACCACACCCAAGGACAAACGCCTTGAGAATGGATGCTGGTGTCAGAAGGTTCGAAAACAAGAGAACGAACCAGGAAATGTAAGCTTCTGGGACTGAATCCATCAACTTTGAGTGAACAAGACAAATAGCCAAATAACGCCTCAGTATATGTGATCGACAAATACCCCATCCCTATGGTGTGAAGTAGTCACAGATTCTCGGCTGGGACTTCCTCCCTAGAGACTCCTGTGCAAGCAACTTCTATAACTTGACACCTTCCTCCCACCTTAGCCAGACATTCGGTTGACCATACAATATCACCATCTTTATAGGTCAAAAATGTTAGCATATTGGCAATTTCACACAGGCCAACTGAGTCCAGCCTCACACACACAGCACTAAGCTGTGCCCACAGAGCACCCCATGGGCCTCCAAGTCCCCATCTAGCTCTGACCCCGGGATGGGAGACCACTCACTCTTTGACTTCTTTGGAGGAGAAGTCCAGGTAGCGATTGCTGATCCACTGGATCTCAAACCAATCTCGAAAGCCATTGTTGCCACAGCACTTGAACTCGATCTGTAGCATGTCGATGGTCTTCTTCATGAAACACCGGCCGGGGGTGTCTGTGTCTCGGTAGTACTTCATGCCATTCTTGAGCCCGTGGGCCAGGGTGCTCTCCAGTGAGCCCCGCATTAGGAAGCAGCAGAGGACCACCAGGAAGAAGACGATGTTGAAGAGGACACAGGCAGCCAGATACGGCTTCAGCCAGGGTTTCCACTTGGCATACTTGGCAGGGTCCAGGGCATCGTAGCAGATCTTGCCGGCCAGAGAGTTGAAGACACAGGACAGCACCCCCATCCCTATCAAGGAGTTGGGCACAAAATGGCTCTCCGAGTTATTCATCACATCACTCCTCTTCCGGAGTTCAATCTTAAGGAATAGCCCTAGGCTGAAGATGACGATGCCAGCCAACACGGAGAGCCAGTTCATGAGCCAGAGCCCTTGGGCCAACTTGACCCGCTTCTTCTGGTCAAACTTGACTTTCAGCAGCGCCATGCTTGCCGGGCGCAGTCCAGGCAGCTTCCCACGGCACAGCAACCACTCCTGACCTTAGTGAGCCCAGGGGCTGAAGACTCAGGGCCTTGGGAAGGGAGAAGGTGGCCCACACTTCAGGGAGCTGCTCTGGGAGCTGCCCATGTTGAGCCCCCTAGCCCGGGACCCCCCATGAACTCAGTAGTGGTAACAGGGGCCTCAGGGTCGCAGCTCATGAAGGGGCCAGTCCTCTGCAGTGTTGCCGTAAGCGTCCTTCCCAGCCAAGGAGGGAGAGCCTGAGCGCTGCAGATTAAAAGTGGGGTCCACAAGACATCGCGCTAATCTCTTTAGCCAGCTTCATCCCATTAGATAAAGCTGTGCTAGTTTCAGAACATGGCCAAGAGGAGCATCCACGGACACCCTGGAGCAGAGAGCTCTGGGTTCAGCTTGAAGAATCAGGAACAGAAACAAGACTGGCCAGAGGAATGGCCTTTCCCTGAGGTCTGGCTCAGACACGTGTCTCCCCAGAAGCCCGGTTCCAGGCCAAACTCCTTCACATCTGAAACTTTCTATGAGACAAAAGACATTGTCACCCTAGTCGAAAAAGAAATGACAGATTCTAAGAAAACATTTATAACATGTAAAAAAAAAAAAAAAAAAGAATTAATAAGCATTTTTTTTTAAACACCCACAACTCCACAGTCAAAAGATCAAAAATTGACTGGAAAAACAAGTAAAAGACAGGAACAGATGATTTATAATAGGAAATCTTGGAAAGTCCAAAATCTGGAAAAGATGTTCAGTCTGAGTAGAACGCAGGGAAGTGCAATTAAGATAATAATAAAAGACCAGATTTGATCCATCAGATTGAGCGTCTATCAAAATTCTGTTGCCAAACAGTATAAACAGAAATAATAGAAGTGAGGATAGACACTCATGATGAGTCTGTAAATTTTTTATCTTTGTAATTAGCAGATTTTATTTCTTAAAGCAGTTTTAGATTTACCAAAAAAAATTTTTTTTTCAGGGATCCCTGGGTGGCTCAGTTGGCTAAGTGTCCACCTTTGGCTCAGATCATGATCTCACGGTTTGTGAGATGGAGCCCCATATTGGGCTCTGTGCTGACAGTGCAGAGCCTAGAGCCTGCTTTGGATTCTGTGTCTCCCTCTATCTCTGCCCCTCCCCTCCTCATGTGCTCTTTCTCCCTCTCAAAAATAAATAAACATTAAAACAAAATTTTTAATTAAAAAATTTGAAAAAAGAATTCCCATATACTCCTTTCCCACAACCAGTTTATCCTAGAATTAGCACCTTGCATCTGTGTGCAATTGTTATAACTGATGAACAAATGTTGGTATTATTGTTATTATTAACTAAAGCCCATAGCTTACATTAGGTTTTGCTTGTTGTGTTTTATATTCTGTAGGCTTTGCCAAATGAGTAATATCATGCATCCACTATTATCAGATCATATAGAATCAGACAGGATAATTTCACTGCTCTTAACGATCCCTACATTCCACCTATTCATTCCTCCTTTCCTCGCTGCCCAACCCCAGGGAACCAGGCTCTACGGTGTTAACCTTTTCCAGAATGTCACATAATTGGAATCATAGCCTTTTCAAACTGATTTATTTCCCTTAACAATATGCACTTGGTGTTTCTTCACATCTTTTTTGTGGCTTAATGGCTCATTTCTATTTATTGCTGAATAAGATTCCATTAATATGGATGAACCACAGTTTATTTATCAATTCACCTGTTAAAGGACATCTTGGTTGCTTCCGATTTTTGGCAATTACACATAAAACTGCCATGAACCCTTGTATGCAGGTTTTTGTGTGGACATAATTTTTAAACTCATTCAAGTAGCTATCTAGGAGTACAATTGCTGGGTCATATGGGAAAATATGTTTAGCTTTGTAAGAAACTGCCAAATTATCTTCCAAAGGGGCTGTGCCATTTTGCATTCCTACCAGCAATGGACGAAAGTTCCTGTTACTCCACACCCTCACCAGTAATTCTGGTGTAAGAATTTTGGATTTTAGGCATCTCACTGTGGCTTTAATTTGCATTTCCCTGATGATGTATGATGTGGAGCGTCTTTTCATATGTTTATGTGCCTTCTTTGGTGAGGTGTCTGCCCAGTACTTTTGCCCACTTTTCAATTGGTTTGTTTTGGGGGTTTTTTAGGCTGTGACTTTTTGGAGAGTAATTTATCTATCTGCATTAAAATCTAAAACACATATTCCCAATGATTCAGCAGTGCCATTTCTCAAACAGCCTATGCATAAACACAAGGAGTTTTAAGAAGAAACCAAGTCTGGGGGCACCTGGGTGGCTTAGTCAGTTGAGCATCCGGCTTCAGCTCAGGTCTAGAGCCTGTCTTCGGATTCTGTGTCTCCCTCTCTCTCTGACCTTCCTCTGCTCATGCTGTCTCTCTCTCTCTCTCTGTCTTTCTCTCAAAAATAAATAAAACAACATTTTTTTTAAAAAAAAGAAGAAACCAAGTCTGTCCTCAACTTTGTGCCCACCTCCTACCATGCTGCCTATCAGCTTAAGGCAGTAAATGACTCTGCTCTCCAACCTGGAACCTCCTTTCTTCCCTTCTGTGGGGAAAATTGGATCCCACTACATGCAGTATTTGTGTGTTCCTCTTTAAGATCTCCAAATCACTAAATAGAACCAAACAAGGATTTATCCAGAGGGAGGAGGTATGGAACAAAGCTATGAGGCATACGTTTTTTTTTCCCTCCAGCCCAGTCACCTCAAAACAGCTATCCTGTTACTCCACCCAAGTTTGGACTCCCACTAAGGAGTGGCCAAGGTCAGGTTCTAAGACCTACAGGAAAATTAGTCTTGTTATTTTTTTTTTATTAATTTTTTTATAACTTACACCCAAGTTAGCATATAGAACAACTATGATTTCAAGAGTAGATTCCTCAATGCCCCTCACCCATTTAGCCCATCCCCCCTCCCACAACCCCTCCAGTAACCCTCTGTTTGTTTGCCATATTTAAGAATCTCTTATGTTTTTGTCCCCCTCCCTGTTTTTATATTATTTTTGCCTCCCTTCCCTTATGTTCATCTGTTTTGTATCTTAAAGTCCTCATATGAGAGAAGTCATATGATGTTTGTCTTTCTCTGACTAATCCCACTTACAATGATACCCTCTAGTTCCATCCATGTAGTTGCACATGGCAAGATTTCATTCTTTTTGATTGCCAAGAAATACTCCATTTGTGTGTGTGTGTGTGTGTGTGTGTGTGTGTGAGAATATATATATATACATAACACATCTTTATCCATTCACCCATTGATGGACATTTGGGCTCTTTCTGTACTTTGTCTATTGTTGATTGTGCTGCTATAAACATTGGGGTGCATGTGTCCCTTCGAAACAGAACACCTGTATCCCTTGGATAAATACCTAGTAGTGCAGTTGCTGGGTTTTTAATTTTTTGAGGAACCTCCATACTGTTTTCCAAAGTGGCTGCACCAGTTTGCATTCTCACCCGCAGTGCAAAAGAGATCCTCCTTCTCCTCATTCTCTCTAGCATCTGTTGTTGCCTGAGTTGTTACTGTTAGTCATTCTGACAAGTGTGAGGTGGGATCTCATTGTGGTTTTGATTTGTATTTCCCTGATGATGAGTGACACTGAGCATCTTTTCAAGTGTCTGTTGGCCATCTGGATGTCTTCTTTGGAGAGGTGTCTGTTCATGTCTTTAGCCCATTTCTTCACTGGACTATTTGTTTTTTAATGTGGAGTTTGGTAAGTTCTTTATAGATTAAGTCTTTTAGTTTATTGTCACACCACATTTTGGGTTAAAAACACCATTATCCAGAGTGATCACTCTTCTAATAGCCAAGACTTGGCTTCTAAACAAGCTTTGCCTCTTCAGGGGATTTCAACTCTCCACCATCAGAAACAATGAAACAAATGTAATGCAGTTTCTGGAGTCTGGTCTTGTTTTTGTTTTTGTTTTTGTTTTTTTTCCCCAAAAATAGAAATGTTCAGATAACCGGAAGCATGACCAGACTCAGACCTCATAGAAGCAGAATCTGAAGACATCTGTCCTGAGAGAAAAAGGGTGTGGGTGACAGTGAAGCTATCTCAGGAAACCCCTTTCTTGCCGCCGCCGCCCCCCCCCCCTCCGCCCCGGGAACCCCTTTCAAGCACACATGTGGACGAGAGAAAACCAGAGAAAAGGAGAGGAAGAAAAAATGAATGTGGAAACAAGAAACAACAGTTTAAAAATAGTTCTCCTGGGGATAATCCGATTAGCCAAGGGGCTCTTTCTCCTCAATTGACCAGTGTACAGCGTGAGGAGGGGCAGAGTGGAGCCTTGGGCTAATCTGTGGGTGCCCCCTGGTGGCCAGAAATAGAATGACTTCACTGTTTGGAAAAGGAGAGATTTCCCCTCTTGGCTAGAGTGGGCCATTATCTAGAAAGGAAAAAGAGAAGAACAGACATTAGAAATGTCACTGGTAGGGAGCACCTGGGTGGCTCAGTCGATTAAGCGTCCAACTTCGGCTCAGGTCATGATCTCGCTGTTCCCGAATTTGAGCCCCTTGTTGGGCTCTGTGCTGCAGCTCAAAGCCTGGAGCCTATTTCAGATTCTGTGTCTTCCTCTCTCTCTCTCTCTCTCTCTCTCATTCTCTCTCTCTCTCTCTCTCTCTCTCTCTCTCTGCCCTTCCCCAACTCATGCTCTGTCTCTCTCTCTCAAAACTAAATAAGCATTAAAAAAAAAAAAAAAAAGAAAAGAAATGTCAGGTATGAAACAAGGCAGAGAATGAGGACCAAGCAGAGAAGAGAAGACTACAGAGGAAGGAGTAATGAATCTCTGCTAGGGGATGGGGGAGAGTTGACTCCCTCCCCCACTGGCCCATCCCCACTGGACCAATGGATGGGAGTCTAGATGCTATGAATCCAGTATAAAGATAATAGAAAATGTTAATGGAATTAGGGGTGATTCATTTTTCTTCTTTAGAATTCCTTTAATGCTATTACAATAGTGAAATGAAAATAACAAAAATATACAATTAAAAAAATAATGAAGGAACCAAAGAGACCATCTCTCTGGACCTGCCAGCCAAGGAAGAATGAGGCACAGGTTAGCTCTTTGA